TATAATTAAATTTTTTAATTCATTTGATTTTAATTTAAGATGAATTACGATTGATATATGTGAAGTTTGGGTTTTAACAAAATGCTTTAGTTGAATATAAATGCATTAATTTGGTCAGTTTTGTTTATATTATGTTTAGATAAACGAGGATTCTTCTTCATTTTGGATATGCAATTTCAATTTTATAGTTTCTATATTTGATTTTTCAATATCTTTTGCGTTTTACCAATTCGACCAAAATGAACAAAATTACAGACGTTAGAGTTGTTTTTTTTTTTTTTTTTTTTTTTTTGGGCTTAATTTGTTTTGTTTTGTTTGTTTTTTAGACTGCATTGTGAATTTTCTTGGGGGGAAATATGTATTACGTTTGGATAGGTTCACATGCTGGGTCAACCGGCTGCTTCCTCTTCCTCATCTTCATCCTCCCCCTTCCCTCACACACTTACCGCATTGAGCAGGCCAATCGTCGTGGGCGGCACCACATGCAACGGCGTGTAGACCTCCTCGTTCTCCTGCCGCACGTACAGCATGACGCGCTCCGAGGTGGGCGGCGTCATGCGGCCCCGTTTCATGGGTGGCCCAAAGTCGGACATCGGCGTGCTGGTTAACATACTCTGATCCAATATGTGATCCTTTTTATCACTAGAAATATTAATAGAGAGCGAGAGAGAGAAGAGAGATAGAAGATTAGTTTCATTGATCTTGGGCAGCTGGAGGCGCGTCCTCTGCATAAAGGATGACGATTTTTACTCACGTCTGCATGTCGGGCGGAAAATGATTGTGGAATTTGAGCGTGGGCGTGGCCACCTTTTGGCCGTGCAACAGAAAAGGCGAAGCACCCTTCAATTCCGGCGAGTCAGTCTCATGGCCATAGAAGCTCTGCGGGATTAGCGAAGGTTTCATTATATCTATATCTCTACCTTTTATGTTAATCAACTCTTCACATACCTTTTCCATGTCCTCGGCGGGCGAGAAGAGCACAGGCGGCTTGGCCAGATCCTGCATGCCATAGAACTCGGAGCGATCTGTGACCGGATGGTAGAGCTCGTCCAGCTTCTTGCGTCCAGTTGCTGTCATTTTGCGCTTGGCCGCGCGCCGTTCCTCATCGCGCGTCTTACGTTCGGCGCCCTATTGTGGAGAGAGAGAAAGAGAGAGAGAGAAAGAGATATTAGAATAGCTGTTAGAAAGAGTTCACTGATAGATAATATATCAGATAGATATATGTATATGGGGTATATCAAATATATGAATATATGAAATATTTATAGCTGCCATTGAGTCTAGGGTATTCGCTAGTCGAATACGCCCCGATTAGTGAACTTTTGTGTGTTTTAATTGCGGGCTTAGCTAAGCGCTTGGACACTTGCGCAAGCAGCGCCAGGTGTGTTGCTTACATGTGTGTGTGTGCGTGTCTGTGTGTGTGTGTGTGTAATTAGCAATCAATCAAAATGCATGGGATGCGCACATTTTGTTTATTGCATTCGTTGTTGTTGTTGTTTGTATATTTCTTCGTCTTCCTTCTCGTATTTTCTTTTATAAATTAATTAAAATCGTGTAGCAAGTGCCATAAGCCTTGCCACAGCTTGTGGCAGACAGCAGACGCTTCAAGAGCTGTTGTTGCTGTTGCTGTTGCTGCTGTTGTTGCTGCTCTTGCTGCTGCTGCTGTTGCCTGTACAAACAAGTTTTTGGGTGCCACCAACGCGGCGGCCAATAAGCGCTTTCGGCCAGGCACCGTTAGGGTCAGCAGCAACAGCAAAACCGATTTGTTGTAAAATTATTATAAAATACTTAGCGAGATGCTGCATAAATATGCATACATCATAAATAATTCGGCGGCGGCGGCGCCTGCAGCTTGTTGTTGTTGCAGCCCGTTGCCAATTTGCCCACCTGAGCTGAAGCAGCAACAAGAGCAACAACAACTGCAGCAGCAGCAGCAGCAGCAGCAGCAGCTGGCTTTGCTTGATTGCCACACACACACACACAGACAACTACCCATTTATATATGCACAAAGACATGTCGCTCATAGCTAGCGTCCACTGTGATTGCAGGTTTGCGTGTAAACAGATTCTTCTCGCTCTCGTTCCCCCGCTGCTGCTGCTGCCGCGTCTGCACTTTGCATTTGTAATTAAAAATCAGGCAATTGAGGCGCGCAGGAAGTGATATTTTTCCCCCTTGCATAGAGAGCGTCGCCTGCTGCTGCTCCTTCTCGCTGCTGCTGCAGCTGCCCTCTCTTTCTCTCTCTCTTCAGCTACTGTCCATCTTTTGCAGCTCTGCTCTGTTAGCCAATTTTTTTATAGCCTTTTCTGCTCAGGTTATGCAAGGATGTGGAGATGTGCTTATGACTGCCTGACAAACACACTCATACAATCACCAACACACACACACACACACTCACACACTATAAAATCTCGCCGCGCCTCTCACCTGTTGCGCTTTCTGCTGCGCTTATCACAGCTACACAAATTTTTTTTTCTTTTTGCCTAGAGCATTCGCTGTACATCATTTGTGCATATGTATGTATTCATATACATCCATTTATGTGCCTGTGTGCGCGTGTGTGTGCTTGCCTGCATGTAAATAACTGTATTTTATTACATACTTTTATTTTATCTTGGCAAAAATATCGCCAAAGCCGCTCAGACAGCGGCTCGAATTGCCGCCAATGCGGTCAATGTACGCCTTCTTCTTCTTCTTCTTCTGCTTCTGCCACAGCTCCACTGCCTCCTCCTCCTGCTGCTTCTTCTTAATCGACCAACTGAGCTAGTGGCTGCTGCAGGAGGCGTGTGGGCGGGGCGGAACGGGGAGGGGGCAGTCGTGCTATGGTCATCAGTTGCGCCGCTTATTTGGTTAGCTGCGATAGTCGCAGCGATTACCAAAAGCGCAATTTTTTTTATTTTTATGTGTTTTTCTTTTCTGTGATATGCCATGTCTTTATGTTGCGTTTATCGATAAATTTTACTTGGTTGGAGATCTTAATAAATATTTATATATATATAAATGCGTATTATAAACTTTCTCTGTGTGCCACAAGTGAGACGCAACTGGAGCGAAATTAATCGAAAGTAGCAACTCTTAGCTGTGGCTTAGCCTATGCAAAACGATCCTGATTGAGCGATTCACTGCTTGACTAATTGGTAAAAAAGATTGATTGATTGACGAGCTTGAAGAGCTTAAAGAGATTTAGCTTTAATTATAAAGTCTATCTATAATAAAGAATTGATTATAATCCGCTTCAATTGTTGGCTGATTGATGACACTAACAGAATGATTGATAGACTATATAACAGACTGATTGAAGGACTATTGATTGACTTGAATGATTAACTCAAGGAGAAGAATTATTGACTGACTCCCTGATTAGCTGATGGCTAAACTAATAGAGTGCTTGAATCGATTGAATGATTGATTACTTTTTAAATAAAAAATCTGACTGACTGCCTGAAATATGTACTTCTATTCTAGCTGAATAAAAACGAACATATTTGAAAGCCCAAACTAACCCAAACTCTTCCATTGAAACTTATTTCTTTATCAACTGAGGAGTTGATCCAGATCCAGATTATGCCAGACCCTGCAGCACATAATCCCTTTATTGTGATTTATAATTGATTGCAAATCAGACAAGCATTTAATTTCTTCATGCAATCCTTACAATGCTTTCCATATCAATTTTTTTTATTTTTTTTTATGCCAACTCGAAGATCTTTATCTGTGCAGTGAAATTTGTTTATCGAAATGTGGCGGCAGTTTTTTTTTTTTAACGATTTCGGTGCATTTTTTCTTCTTCTTCATTTTGGTGAAAAGACAGAAAACACGCAAAACCTATATTTCTGCATTGATTGCAATGGGAAAAAGGTGCCAAAAGGCGGCAATTGCAGCCGAATTGCAAATGCAGAGAAATCGCAAAAGCAGCAAAAATAAAAGTCAAGAGAAATGCGTGTATGATACAAGATGCTGCAGAGCATGGATACGTGTGTGTGTGTGTGTGTGTGTGTGAGTGTGTGTATATATATGAAATAAGCTGGTACGCGAAATTTAATTGATACATTTATCGATAAACATACGCCTCGAAGTTCCAGGTTAAACCCCCAATGTAAGTATGAGTGTGTGTGTGTGTAAGGGTTATGGATAGTATGTGGTGGCATGGAGTACAATAAAAGGTAGTCAGGCCTGTTCATGGTTGGACTTGAAGAGGAAGAGGAAGAAGAAGAGGCAGCAGCAGCAGCAGCAGCAGCAGGAGAAGTGTAATGATATGAGAAAATTAAATTGGAAATCCACGAAATGATTTATTAATAAAGCACATCAAGCGCAAAAAAAAGTGAAGGGTTCGCATATAAACCAAAGATAGAGAGAGAGAGAGAGAGAGAGAGACAGACAGCGAGGGAGAACGAGAGAAAGAGAGGTGCATACCAAGGCGAAACGTTGGCTCAAAACAAGGGCACGACAAAAGGCGAAAGGATGAAGCCAGCGAATCAGTGCCAAGGAGAGGCAGTCAGAGGAGGGGGAAGAGATGGAGGGAGGGACCTGTTGCCTGTCCATTTACTTTTGTACGCGTTACGCTTTCCACCTGAGCTCGAAACGGACATTGGTTACGTTGATGAAGGGACAAGCCAAATGCCAGGCCGCATGCAGCATGCAGCATGCAGCATGCAGCATGCAGCATGCAGCAGGCAGCAGGCAGTTGCCCCCAATTCGATAAAAGCAGCAAGCGACAAGTGGCAACAACAACAACAACAATCGGCAGGGCTTTGCCTCGAGGCACGTCGCAGCGCTTTTAGTTAGCTTCATTCAACCTGCTGTGTTGCACGTGGCAGCTGCCTCTGCCGCTCGGTCTCTGCATTGCATCTACCTCTACCTCTGCCTTTGTCTGTGTGCGTGTATGTGTGTGTAATTATGTAGCTGGTGAGCTCTCTCGTATGTGGTAGCTTTTGCGAATTGAGAATCACTTACCTTATCGCAGAAGACCTTTATCTGACAGTAGCCGCGATGAAAGACCGTCGCATCGCGTGGATCCTCGAACGTATCGATTTGTACGTGCAGCGGCAGGCCCTGTAACAGAAGGGGGAAATGGAAATTTAGAAAATACCAAAAAAATACCAAAAAAACAAAAAATACCAAATTAATATCAATAAAATATACCAATCAATCAAGACAAGCCCTAGCCTCGCACTCAGGCAGGCAATACTGTGGTCTGCTAATAAAATATCAACTAATGGTACGCGTTACAACATACAACAAGAAAAAAAAAAAACAAATAATACCAAGAAAATACAAAAAATACCGAAAAATACCTAAAAATACCAAAAATACCGAAAAATACCAAAAAATTATATAATTAAAATAGAGCAATCCATCTTGCAATACTACGAGACTAGCGCTTGCTGCGCACTTAGGCAGGCCACACTGTGGCGAAATGAAATATCAGCTAATGGTACGCATTACATACACCAAGAAAATACTAAAAATACCAAGAAAATACTAAAAATACCAAGAAAATACCAAAAATACCAAAAAATACCAAACAATTATATGAATAAAATATAGCAATCATGCAATACTACAAGACAACACCTAGTTGCGCACTTAGGCAGGCCACACTGTGGTTGACGCGACGCAGAAGCATTCGCTTCAGACTCTCAACTCTTCGTGTCTTTCTGTCAATGAAATATCAACTTAATGGAACGCATTACAACATACAAAGGATGTTGCTGATACAACAACAACAACTACTACTGCAATAACAATAACAACAACAACTACAACTACCTACGTCTACATGTTAAGAGGCAGAACTGTAGCAATCGCCTCTTGACGCTGCCTCTTGAGTCAGCCCCTTTGGGCACATGTTGTTGCTTTTATCTTTTATGATGTTGGCCTTGCCTCGGCTGCGCCTTGGCGGGTATTATGACTATGTGATTAAGTGTGTAACACAGGTAACAGGTAACGCAGGCAAACGGGAGCACAGGGATACGCCTTCGGGCTCATCAACCTGTACGATGAACACAAGCACACACACATGCACATGCATATAGACAACTCTGTGTGCCCAGGTGTTTATTAAGCCAAGACAAAGCTGAAGTTGTTCGATTTGCCTACAATGTGTGCTGCCTAAGAGAGCGATAGAACGAGAGAGACTTATAGACCAAAAGTCATATAAATAAATTGCTTTTAAGCTATATTTATAACTTCATTAAATTTATTTTGTATTTTATATGCGAAGAGCTCAATTGAAATTGTTTAAATATAATAACAGTCTGGCAACACTCAATTAGCTTAACTGCCTTATTAAGTTGGCTGCGTTTAAATATGATTTTGATTTTGATTTTTGTTGTTGTTTCTATATGCGTGCCATATATTGTTTCTAGTGTATTGTTAACTATTTTGCTTAGGCCTTCAATCTCTATGCTTTGACAGACATTTTGAGCGATCTGTTAATAATAGTGATAATAATACTAATGAATACTAGGCTACTACAACTAATGAAATTCATAAAAAAATTGTCAATATTAATATTTGATTGTTAAAAAGTATTAATTGGTTCATTAAGTAAATTTAAAGCGCGGGATTTCTGTTAGATGATAATATGTATACATACATACTTTCATTTAAACATATGTACCATACACCCCTTTCGATCTGCATTATTCTATACACAATTGTCTGTTAAACTATTTCCCAGATCAGGCAAGATAAAGATAGCTTTGATATATATATCATTGATCTCTTGATCTGTTAATTTATTTTTCTAGTTGTCCAGATCAGTTTAGAGATTTTTATTATATAACAAGATATTTTCTTATATGCTATTCAAACTGTTTTCAGGATATCTGAGTTTGTGTATACACTCTGATCTCTCAAATAAACCAAATAAACTAGCTCAACTTTAATATATATAAAATATTTAATAATTGCTTAATCTTTTCCCAATTATTATATACAAGTAATTCATATGTCCATATATGTAGGAAAAACTCACCTTAACACCTTTCTGACTGCTAAAGTCCGTGCTGAGGCACTGAACCGCAATGTTGATCTGTGAAAATAAAATGCAATACAATTAAAACAATGCAGGCAATTAATAAAGGAGAAAAAAGCTTGCGAAACAAAAGGAAATAAAAAAGAAATTAAAGCAAGACAACAGAAAAAGACACAAAAAGTGCGTCTGGGGGCAGTGATGATGCCGACGTCGACGTCGACGCCGACGGAGACAGCGACTGCAACTGTTATTAGAAGCAATTGTTTTCTCTCTATTAAGTCGATGTCCTCTTTATGCCCACGACAGTTTAAAAAATTCCAACACACACACATACGCACACACACACACACACACACACACACACACATACGCACAACAAAAGGCGTGTATGCTGCATACAGTTGGGTCGGTTATATGGCAATGGCAATGCCAATGGAGACTAAAGCTGGAGACAATAACAAGGCAATACACAGAGGACCAAACCGAGCCGAGCCAAGCCAAGCCAAGTGTGGAGAGTGCAGCGCGGCGTGGTGCTGGAGAGTGAGCAGTGGAGAGTGAGTGAGAGACAGTGTAGAGGGGAGAGACAGCGGCAAGTTGACTTTTGCAACGCATCCAATTCATTTTTTTTTCGACTTCGATTCAGTTGCTCAGCGACAGACTTCAAGTCGCTGTATGTGTGTGTGTGTGTGTTTAAAGGCATTTTAAGCATGTCCAAGCCAGATGCGACGAGCCAAAGACAAACAGTCGGACACAACAACAACAACAACAACAATAACAACAACAGCAGCAAAAAAGAGTAGAAAATCCATCAACGCAAAAATACCAAAGGAAACAATCTTAATGGTAAAAGTGCAACGCGCTGTCGCTGTCGCAGTCGCCGCTAACGTCTCAGTCGCTGCCTGCGTCAACGTCGTTGTCGATGTGGACGACGTGGAGCAGTATTTAATGTGAATAATTAGCGGGCGCGTACCATATAAGCGAAGACACAGACAGACGCTTGGCTGGCAGGCATTGAAGATGCAGTTGCAGATGTGAGAGGCTGGGGCTGAGCGCGAGGGGGAGGCTGTGGCAAGCTGCAGCACCTGCGTGTCGGTGCGTACGAAAGTTTTTTTTCTGCTGTTTTTTTTTTTTTTTTGAGCGGCCGCTGGGAAAGGCAAAAGATACGCGCAAACATACAGCCGCAGATACACAGATACAAACAGCAGCAGATACAGATACAGCGAGGCGTGGGGGGTAGGAGGAGGCTGCTGCCTAACGGCATAAAACGAAATCGACATTATGCGGCCTTTGGCTGCGACGACTCTCTCTCTCCAATGTCTGGCCGTATCCACATATATATATATATATTTTTTTTTTTTTGGGATTAACATCTCAGCGAGTAAACAATTTGTAAATAAAAAGCGCGATATCGAAATGTAACCAAAATGCACTTATGGCCACATGAGCCAAGCCAATTGGCCAGCCAGCGAGACAGACAGGCCGTACAGACAGCTGGACAGACGGACAGGCGGACGGACGGCTAGCGAGCCTGTTAGCCAATTTAATAACTGCTTGCCAATTTGACACAAGTCACTGAACTTGACAACAAGTGGAAAAATCAGTGCAAAAAACACGAAATGTATACGAAAAATTGCTCACAAATATTTTAGGCCGAGCCGGGATTATCTGTCATGTGTCTATAGCCAAGGCCTCCATATAAATATGTATGCTAGAGGAGCTAAACAAAAAAGACTCTGCATATATTAAATTCGTTCAGTTTACTTCACTTGATCCATATCTATATGTATATGAAATTAATTGGACTTGGATAAATATACATATATGACAGAGATAAGATTTGTTTATCTTATGGAGATGTGTTTATAACGGACTTGGAAAGCAAAGTAGAAATATGATGAATCAAACACTAACAAACAGCTTGAAAGGTTGCTTATATGCATATTAGATTTGGACACCCAGGGACCTATCTAATAGATTTCTAAACTACTTTTTAGACTACTTTTAATCGATTCATTTTGTCCTCTTTCTGCTACTACTCCTACTTCATTTACTGCTAATCTGCATATGCTTCAACTTATCTTACTTCCCCTTCATAGGTCATACATAAGCAATAATATATCATATTCCCAAGCAGAAATTACACAGAAATTGCCTAAGAGATCATAGCTTAAGCTTAGAGGGTATCTGTTAGTCTATCATATGCACCATCATTGCTTGATGTTGTTAATTTAACTTTTTGGATGGGTGGAGCTATATACATGCTCGCCACTTGTTGTTTATTATGCATCTGCATTCAGCCAACATTCAGCCGCATTGTGGCTTAGCTGTGGTGCGACGGGGCGTATACGTAATCTGGCGGCGGTTGGCGCTTGATTTGCTCAATAGAATTGCAAATATTCGACGGGGATTAAAATTGCTGATAATTGCTAAATTAAATGCGCTTGGGAGCGCAGATCTAAAAGCCAAAAGCATAGGGAAAGAGATAGCGAGAGTGGAGACGAAGGAGAACGAGAGAGAGAGAGAGAGAGAGAGATAGAGAGAGAAACGTTGAAAATTGTCGTGGCAGGTGATTAAAACTAAGTGTCATAAATAAATAAATGCATAAATTATTCTTTTCAAAAAGAAACAACAAAACAGAGCGCCCCTAAGTGAGAGAGAGAGAGATAGCGCAGCTGTGTGCGAGCGAGCGAGCTGGCAATATATAAATGTATGTGTGTGTGTGTGTGTTGAGGCGACTGTGCGACGCGCGTTGAATAATTTGCGTTGTACGTTGCAATTGAAAATAAATCACAAATTAATTCTTACATACACATATCTATATATCTAGTATGTGTGTGTGTGTGTGTCATTTGCCGTGTCGCTTTTTTGTGTTTTTTTATATTTTTTTTTTAATTGAGGCGGCGCTCAACTACAAACAAAATGGAGACTTTATAGCGCTCCAGCTGGGGCGCTACGGCCTGAAACGGGGGCTCTAAGAACTTACCTTGGCAGAGCTCTCGAGCGGATTCCAGTAGACGGCAATGGCATTGTGCGACACTTCCTCAATGCAGCCAACGAGACCAACCGAGTTCTTTGTATCTGCAGAGAGAAAAAGCAAATATATATATATATATAAACATATACATATATATATAGAAAAGATAAAGAAATAGAGTCAACAACTGTGGCAGAGGAGCTAACATATCGTTTGTATTAACAATTAAGGAAAAATTGTCTGTGACAAGTGCCTAATGAGTTATGTTTGATGGGGCTAAGGCGCGCAACAGGTTGCAACTGCAGCAGCAGCAGCAGCAGAGAGAGAAAGAA